ACTTTAAGCACATTAATAACTGCTAACTAATATATATTTATTACAATTACAGTATATTAATTATTCAAAGCGACTTACAGCTTCCAAAGTCAGATTGCAGCAGGTAGGAGCTCAGCTTACCCTTACTGGAACTCATTTATCATTACACACACACACACGGAAGTTAAATAAACACGCTGAAATAGCTTTAAACTCACCACATTTGCCTTTTTTTATTAAAATAAAAACGTCCAAAGACTGATTTTGTTCTTGAGACTGTGTTCACTTCCTTGTGTTTCTCGCCAATTGACTAGACAAGTGCAAGGCTCACCTGCGGACACGCCTATTTCTATCCATCCAATCAGGATGCGCTTAAGCGTCTCTATGCCTGCGTCACCCGGATCCAGGATCCATTTACACACCTTTAAAATTGAGATTACCGTGTCTCCTATTTGCATAAAACGTATCAAAAAGTGATACAATAGATATAATGTGTATTTATCATAGTGCACGTAGGCCTACAACGAAATTTAAGTTTTATAAATATAAAATAAATTAAAACATAATACATTTCATTTCATATTTGCACTTCTGGCTAGATGCTAAATGTATTGTATTAAGAAAGAGATTAATATTTGAACATATTATTTATAAAATTGTTTACTTATAAAATGCATATTTATATTATAATAATTAATTTGGAGGACAAAAAACAGTAAATAAATAAATACGCAAATAAACAAATAAATGAATACATAAATCTACAAATTCCTGCATAAATAATAAATTAATAATTTTTTTTTAAATAAATAAATAAATACGCAAATAATTTTATTTTTTATTTATTTATTTTATTTATCAATTAATTTATCAATTTATTTGCATATTATTTGTTTTGTTTGTTTTTGCAGGTTCTGTCCTCCATAGAAACCTGCAAAAACAATTAATAAATAAATATGCAAATAAATAAATAAACGAGTAAATAATTTTATAAATACATGCATAAATAAAACATTAAAGGAAAAACCTAACTAACTAAATAATTAAGTAAATAAATCCATATATTTCTTTATAAATAAAGCATTAAATAAATAAATACACAAATTAATAAATAAATGAGTAAATAAATCTATAAATCCCTGCATAGATAAAACAATAAATAAATAAATAAATAAATATCCAAATGAATGAATACATAAATAAATAATTAATTCCATCAACCCCTGATTAAATAAAACAATAAATAAATACGCAAGTGAATACATAAATGATTAAATAAATTCATAAATCCCTGCATAAATAAAAAAAGCAATAAAAAAATTCGCAAATAAATAGAAAAATTCAAATTCCTGCATAAATAAATACATATAATTAATCCATTCTCTTCTCTGTTTTCGTTATATTTAAATTTGATCTTATAACATTAAAAATCACTTTTCATTGTCTATTTTATCTTTAAAAAGTTAATTTGACCTTCTAATAAATCTATAAATCTCTGAATAAAACACTAATTATTGTTGATTTTTCTCTACTTCTAATGTGTACTATCTAAAAAAATTATGTAAATGTCACACTTTTCCACCAGTGTTTTGTATAGTTATTAAAACACGAACGTGTATTTTGAAAGCTCTAATAAAAACAAAAATATACAAATAAACAAACAAATAAATAAATAAATAAATACGTACATAAATAAATCCTTTGACCAACAGCTCCCTCTGGCGGCGGTTAGCAGGTAAAGCGCATTTAACTGACACCTTTCTGTCCCAAAGCAGCTCACAAGAACTGTTGATGAGTTAGTAATTTTTATATTTGTACATGTTTAGTCAGATGAGGCCTGCGTTTAAAGCAGTTTAAACAACCATTTATTATGAACAAGGTGCGTTATGTAATCAGACTGCGTTGTCACTGGCCGCCTTCACTCTGACCCCGCCCACCCTGATAACGTCAGATGCGTCATTCGCCATTTTGCTGTTAAGGGAATAATATTGCTCCATTCATACTGCAATTTCCGCTGTTTCTGCACCGAAATCGCGTTATTATTGAGGGAGGAGCGGCTTTATTTCCAGCGTTTGTGCTGCGGAAATCATGTCAGAGAATCCGGATGATCTGGAGCTCGAGTCTGAAGAGAAGCAGGTACCGTTACTGTGATAAATGAGGGGGGAACACAAACGCGACACGCTTTAGCGATAAACATTCAATTTAAAACCGTGATGTAAATGGAGATTTGCTGTTGTGTAAGGAATAAAAAGAGTCGTGATTTAACAGGTCCCGAGTGTCACTCGCGGAGATCACGCCCACGCTCAGAGGAGATTCTCGCTCTGATTGGTGGATCAGTCTGTCAGTCAAACAGATTGTGAATTCCCATTGGTTGGCGTTTGTTGTTATGCTGCATACACGTTCCCTCTATTGTTTAGTGTTGATATTGTTGGATTTTAGACTCTGCAGGTGAACACTAGTGTAAAGAAATAACTAATATTAACCACAACGTAGTTCTACAGTTAATCATTTACATTACAAAACGCTTTTGTAATATGCATTTTTGAAAATGTTTTCATATTAAAATATGCATTTCAATAACTTTCTAGCACAGAAAACTGAACACTGAATGAAGTATGGTTCAAAATGAATGTTTATATATTTATTTTGACACATTAGAGGGGATTTTGGGAATGTTTTATACCTCCATAATTTAGAAAATGCCTAGAACTGACAGAAAAACACTATTTTTGTCAAACAAAATGTAGTATATAACCAGGAAAATGATGTATGAATATATGTGCTTATGTTATAATGTTCAGAATTTAGATTTGAATAAATCTGTAAAGCCGTATATTTATAGTTCAGTGCATTTTTGGGAAAATATGCATTGTAGTGCTGTGAAATCAACAGTAGCTTTATATGATGCATGAATGCATGAAAGATGTGTCTTACAATAATATGTTTAGAAAATTAACAGTGTTTTAAGCCCTCATAGACCTGCACGTAAATACACACATATGGATGAATCTGATTTATGATTCCATATATCATACAGTGTGAACTGAAGAGCGGATGTGTGTATTTACAGGATTCTCCAGAAAAGACCTGTAACCCCATACTGTCCGAAGAGGCCAAACTGAAGGCCAAATATCCAAGTCTGGGACACAAACCCGGCGGTTCAGACTTTCTGATGAAGAGACTACAGAAAGGAGTGAGGACATGATTTAGCAAAGTTGTAAATAAAGATTATAGGAGCAAATTTGACCTTCATACGTCAACATTTGATGTCTAATCCAGTATTACTATCAGTTTGATTGTATGTTAATGTGAATTTTGCTTTCGTTTTCGTTTGTCTAACATTAGTTTGTTTAATATTTTAACTAAAGTGTGCATTCAAAAATGCAAATGTGGCTTGTTTTAGATTGTAATTTTAATTTTAGTTTGACTAAACATTTAAAAACTTTAAAAACGAAAAGGCTTTTTATTAGCTTTAAATGTCCACGTTTATCATAATGTTATATCATAATGAGAAATGCTGTATTAATTAAGCGTTCATTCACAGCATCTTCTCTAGAGAAGTGAAGAAACATATGAATAAGAACATGTGAATATAAAAGCAACTCATGATTCTGTGATGCTAAAGCATTATTGATGTAAACAGCAGTGTTCTGCAATACATTACAAACACTACATTACATTATGAGCAATATTTAGTTTTTGAATGCAAGTAACACGGACATTATTCAGGCCAGTATATTTCAGGCCACTTAATATAAAGTGTGACTGAATTTTCATCTGATTTCTGCTTTTTAATGTCATAAATTTGGCTTTCTATGGCATCTTGTGACTTAAATAAACAGTCTGTGATGCTAAAAATCACAGGTAAAATCTAAATATTAATGATGTGAAACGGTCCTGTCTTGTGTCCAGCAAAAGTACTTTGATTCGGGCGATTATAACATGGCGAAGGCGAAGATGAAGAGCAAACACGTGGTGCAGAGCGCAGCCGAGAAGAGTCTGGTGACCGGAGACCACATTCCCACACCACAGGACCTTCCTCAGAGGAAAAACACCATCCTCACCAGCAAACTGGCCGGATAAACACACACACACATATACACACACATATTTAAACTCAGACACAAACACACACACACACACACATTTATATATATATATACACACACACACACACACACAGATACAAACAAGCACAAACATACACATGTACACATAGACAGACACATGCACAGAAACACACACAGACACACACACACACGTGAACTTAGACACAAATGCACACACAGAGAGAGACAAACACACAAACATATACTGTAAACACACATATATATATATACAAAAACACATAGACATATACACACACAGACAAACAGAGACACACACTTTTAAACACAGATACAGACAAGCACAGACATATACACACACTCACACATACACACAGACAGACACATATACACACACACAGAGATAAACATACACACAGGCACAATACACAGACAGACACAGATACAAACATATACACAGACACAAGCATGCACATACACACACACAGACGTATACACACACAAACACACACACACACACACACACACACATATATATGTTGATTTTGGTGGTTAATGAGGATTCTTAATGTGAATTGTCACTAGATTATAGATATCCTGAACATGAACATCTGCAACACTTCATTTTCATCTCACAGACCTTTAAGCATTTTGAATTAGGAGGACAGAAAGGCGTGTCCTCATAAACCACCTCTACATTGTAATAGCTACAGGCCACACCCTTGTCATTTTATGTATGTGTGTCCTCGTAAACCACCAAAACCAGCACACACACACACTTAAACACACACTGTAGATATGCATCAGTCGGGGTGTGTAGGGCTGGGCGCTGTGACGATATTCATCCTGAATGAGCCAACCATGAAACATGATGCAGAAACACACACACACACACACACACAGTCCGCCAACACACTGCTGCTCAGGCATTCACTGCTCATCAAGGCTGATCAGAGTACAGTAAAAATACAGACAAATTATCAAATATTATTATGATTTAGGGCGTCACAGTGGCTTAGTGATGTCACACAGTGGCCTCACAGCAAGAATGTCGCTGGTTTGAGTCTCGGCTGGGTCAGTTGGTGTTTCTGTGTGGAGTTTGCATGTTCTCCCCGTGTTGGTGTGGGTTTCCTCCGGGTGCTCCGGTTTATTCCACAGTCCAAACACATCCGCTATAGGGGAACTGATCAACTACACTGGCCGTAGTGTGTGAATGAGTGTGTATGGGTGTTTCAAAGTACTGGGTTGCAGCTGGAAGGGCATCTGCTGTGTAAAACTATGCTGCAATAATTGGCAGTTCATTCCGCAGTGATAAATATGTCAAAGAAAAATGAATGAATGAATGATTTGAGCTTGACGGTGATATTTCTCTCTCATTATAGTTGTTTTCTTCTTGTTTTTTTCCAGACAAAAGTGTTTACTTTGCTGGATGATGTCATACTGTGATATATATTATTACCTGAAAGCTTATGTAAGATTCTGGTCATATCGCCCATCCCTACAGGACTCCACATCACACACACACACTCTCTCTCTCTCTCTCTTTATGTGCTTTGCTGTACTGTGTGGATCTGAACACACACCTTTATGAACTGAAAAAGCACATGAAGGAATCACACACACACACAAAACACACATAAACACATTCATACTGACACACACACACAGAAGCACATATTTAAACTGACACACACACACACACACACACTCCCGCTGCTGGTCTTGTTAAAGCTGCTAAATCACTGGACTGGACAAGTCTCCTGTAAATAATGTCTGTTCCTCCTCCCTCATCACAGCATCATTCCAACACTGCATTACTCAGTTATTCATCTTTATTACTCATTTCACTGTATGATGATGTTCAGGTCTTTAAATCATGTTTAAAAATGTGCTGAGTTTTATTCAAATCTACAAACATGAAAACTCTCCCTGATGCACAAACACCACGTTAACATATAAATGATGTACTATATTATATAAATCATGATCAATAGACATAAATAAATCAGCACACATCGACTTCAAACAGTCTTATAGTTACAGTGTAATAATATAAAACGCTCTTGATGGTCCTAACTTTATTTTCTGTACACAGAATATAGTGTTATTTTGATTCTGAAGCTGCAGGAAGATGTAAATGTATTAATATTCATGACTGGACGTGACATTAATATATGTTTATGATCTAGAAACTGGAATATTGGAGCAGAGAATTTTATGCTAGTATTTTAAATAAACTTTTACATCACGTTTAACTGCTCTGAGGTCTCCTTTGCTCGTGTGATTATCACAACATTCTTGTGTATGACATATATGTATGTCACTCTTATATCTCAATAAGGAAGGGTTATTGCATATAAAGGTAGCAATACGTAAATAAAATACATAGACTTACCAAGGGTGGCGCAGTGGTTAGCCTAGTGGCCTTAGAGCAAGAAGGTCTCTGGTTTGAGACCTGGCTGGGTCAGGAGTTTGCATGTTCTCCCCGTGTTGGCGTGGGTTTCCTCTGGGTGCTCCGGTTTCTTGCACAGTCCAAACACATGCGCTATAGGGGAACTGATCAACTACACTAGTAGTAGTGTATGAGTGTGTGAATTAGTGTGTATGTGTGCTTCCCAATACTGGGTTGCAGCTGAAAGGGCATCCGTTGTGTAAAATGTTTGCTGGAATCATAGGCGATTCATTCCACTGCAGCGACCTCTGATTAATAAAGGGACTAAGCATACTAGTAAATATTTTAGTTTATAAACAACTGCGTGTGTGTGTGTGTGTGTGTGTGTGTGTGGGTGTGTGTGTGTGTGTGTGTCCACTAGAGGCCGCTATTGACAATTATATTCATTTTATTTTTAATGCTCAGATACAGTTTAGTGCACAGTTAAATGTTAATAAATTATTTATAATTTATTAATTTCAGCTGTTATATTTGTTTTTTTCTTTCCTTTCCAAAAAAAAAACAACTTCAAGTAGAAATTTAACATTTCAATAATAATAAACATTTGTGTTCACAGTTTGTGTTTTCAATTACATCCAGGTAAGTAAAAACATAATAATAATAATAATAAAATAAAACCTATATTTTCAGTGTTTAAGTGCTTACATAGTGTGTTTTTATATCACATTTATAAATTCTTAATATAAATATTTAATCCACTCACTGCACTTCTCATCATCCCTATAGTTTGAGAAACTCTGTTGTAATGAAAAATACATTTCTATGTTGACATAAAATACTTGAATAGCCGACGTTGTCTTTGATCTTTGCTCTTTTTACCCAAAAATGTGTATGTTTAAGACCGGTTATCTAAAAATCTGTTTTAAAATCGCACATAATAAGATGAGTAAACATTAAATAAAGTGTATATTCTCACTGTTCAAGTGTTTAAATAATTTATTTTACATTCAATTAAAAAAGTTAAAGTTAATATCAGTCTTTAACTATCAGTCTTCAACCTTGAGAAACTGTAATGTATTTTATATGTTGCCTATATGCCTATATTTATTTGTCTTTGCTATTTTTCCCCAAATTTGTATGTTTAAGAAAGATTATCTAAAAATTAGTGCATTGTGCAAGATTAAGTGACATAATATATGTGTGTTGTGTATATTTATTATCTTTATAAACATACACACATGCTGACATATATTTGAGAAAATGTATATTTATATTTAGATATCAAATACATAAAACAAATTATATATTCATTTAAATATCTACAGTTGAAGTTGAATTATTAGCCCGTTTATTTATTTTTCTCAATTTCTGTTTAACGGAGAGCAGATTTCTTCAGCGCATTTCTAATCATAATAGAGTTAATAACTCATCTCCAAAAACTGATTTATTTTCTCTTTGCCATGATGACAGCACATTAGATATTCTTCAAGACACTTCTACACAGCTTAAAGTGACATTTAAAGGCTTCACTAGGATAAAGTTAAGGTAATTACTAATAACTCTGACTTAAACTCTATGTAACTTAATAGTTTTGTATAATTAATTTTTTTAATGTATGTTTGTGTATCACATACACATTATATATATATATATATATATATATATATATATATATATATATATATATATATATATATATATATATATATAACACACACACACACACATAGTAAGTTAAAACAAACTTTAATATTGGTTGGCCAACACTAAAAACTGTTTAAATTGTACATAATACAAACCTGAAAATGAACAACCTAGATTGCCACACAGTCTGCAGTTTTCATCATGTAACTGTAATCAGTAAAATACAATTACTGTCTGTGTGTGTAGAGTTCATATGATAACACAATCAGCCGCATTGTGTGAAGTTCTCCAGGGTGTGTTAGTATTCATACTGACTAATAATTTCACCAGTCTGACTCACACACACACACACACACACACACACACACACACACACACACGCACACATACACGCAGCTCTGTTTCCACACTGTATATTCTCATCAGCTCATCAAAATGACCGCATATTTGACCAGAACATTACAGAAAAACCCTGACATCTAGAAAACTGTTCCAGCCGAAAACAGAAAACGAGAACAAGAAGTGGAAATTCTAGAACGGAGGAGGAAACACCATATTAGGACATGGGCGGAGAAAAGACGCCAGACAAGAGATTTAAAAGCGTCAGCTTTACATCTACTTCCGCTTCACTCAGTTCAGAGTGTCGACCAACAACCTCAAGCTTAACCTTCGCCATTTAAGTGAACCCACTTCGAAGCCTCAGTTTTAATCTTTTACTCTTTAAGTTTATTAATCTTCTATTTGTAATCAGCGATTGAAATATGGCTCTGAGTTTGGATTTTAGGCGAACGGCCACGATGAGCTTCTTCGCGCAGGGCGTTCAAACTCCGACGCTAAAGACGTGCGTCGAAGACGAACTGGACGGATACATTGAGGAGGAGGAGGCGCCTCTGAAGCGGCTTAGACCGGGTACAAACGGCCTGAAGGGGCTGCAGCTGGACGGTCGATTTGTTTCTGCGACAGACGGATCTCTACCGACCACCCCAGATCCGGAGGAGCTCGACTACGCCGAACTGGAACGCGATACTCGGCAGCTCTTATTGGATTTTTACCGCACACACACGGGAATGTGTCCGGTAGACCGTAAACTCCATCACGCCATACCGACGATGAAGCGAGTGGTCGACAATATTCTCGTGAAGCACCAGATCGCATACAAAGGTAAGAATCGCGCATGCGCAGCCGCCCTTCAGTTAACAAAGCTACGCGCAGAGTGATTGTGGTGAAGTTGTTTGGTGTATCTGCACATTCAGATGTCATCTTAATTTATTTTACTTTTCTGAATTCATAAATCACAACATTAGCCAATTGCTATTAAAGTACAACACGGTTCACGGTTTTGTTTTGACGTCACACTTGCATGCTAATTCAGACCGAATATTCAAAATAGCTTTGGGTGAACTATATAGTGAGCGTGTCAAGTTTACTGTTTAAAAGTGAAGCATTGTGCCAAATATAAAACCTACTTTACCTCAATCACAAAGGGACTTTCATTTAGGCTGTATATAAAATATAAAATACTCTTACTGAATACTTGTATTTGTTTGGTTTGTATACTTTAGTTATATTTAGTTGGGTTTTTTAGTTATATTTTAGTTTATTTTTCATGTTCGACTCATTTAAAGAGAAACTTAAGCCAAAAATGAAATGTCTTCATTTACATGTTTCAATCCTGTCTTCGTTTCTCCTTTTTCATGAACACAAAGACATTTCGAATAAACCTGTAACCATTGACTTCCATTGTATTTGTTTATGCTACTATGAAAGTCTATGGTTACAGGTTTTCAGCTTTCTTTAAATTATGATCCGTTATGTTGAATGCAATACAGAAGCTCATAATGCTTTATAACCACTCTAAAGTGAGTAAATAACACATTTGGGCTGAACTGTACCTTTAAATTGAGGTATTGTGTTTATTCTGGTGTATGGACGTCAGCAAATGTTTGTTTCTCGCCTTCGGATTTTCAGTAGAGTTTTTTTTTCGGGTTTTTTTTATCTGGTCAAACCGCAAAGTTCGTCATTGCGATTCTCAGAAGTTCCGCTTATCAGGCGCAAGCAGCAGAGGCGGAACTGACCCATACAGGCGGAAGCTGGAACCGTTTAACACCAGAAAACTCGATTACTCTAATGTTACCTAACAAAACAAAGGTAAATACATTTATATTGCGATATCATCGATTGTTTAAAGCAGCCAATGATCTGTCAGTTAATCAAAAGAGGGCGGTGGAAAGCAGCACACCCCTGTTATTTCCTCAACACACCCGGAAGTGTTTTTCCATTGAAGTTTTTTAGTATGCGTGTTTTGCAGCTTGAACCAAACCACATATTTGCAATAACATTACAAACTTTGATTTAAAAACTAATTAAAATATGCAAATGAGGTAACAGGTTGCAAATTAATTGGTTAATTGATTGTGAACTGTAATCCTATATAGCATTATGAATATTCAATTGTACCTGTTTTTAAGGCACTCATTAAAATGCTCTTATTACATGGTTATTACAAGACACTCATGACTTAACGAATTTAATTTACATTGTAATGAAGGTCAATGAAGATACCATATATGGTTATTCTGCCAATTAAGAGTTAAAGATGATGAAAAGATATAAAAAGTGTTGGCTGTACGTATAAAAACATTTATTTAAGTTTATTGCAAAACATTTCTACATTTAGTTAAGACTTAACACTGGTGCTAAAGATCGTGCAATATGATTGGTTGAATTCGCTGTAGAGCATCATGGGTAATGTAGTTTATCATGTGTTCCACTATTCAATGTTAAATAAGGTGAATTAATGTGAACGATCACCTGTAACAATGAATTTCCAACCTCAGAGCTCACAATAGTTTAAATAAACTAACGTTAAAATCAATTCTGTTGGATGAATTGGGTTTTATTACTGATTGGTATATCAGCCAATGATCTGCCAGTTATGAGCTGTCAATCAGAAGGAGGCGGGTAAAGTGGAACTGTGTGTGTGTGTGTGTGTGTGTGTGTGTGTGTGTGTGTGTGTGTGTGTGTGTGTGTGTGTGTATTCAATCATGACGTTTTGTTGTTTGTTTCTTCAGGAATGATCCAGCGTCTTCAGCTGGACTCTCAGCCGGCCTCTCTGGACTTCATCAGATGTATAGCAAGCACCATGTTTAAAGATGGCGTCACTAACTGGGGCCGAATTGCGAGTCTGGTGGCGTTCGGGGCCGTGGTTTGCTCTCGATTGAAGGAGCTCCAGCAGGATCAGTGTGTGGAGAGGGTGGCTGAGCAGATCTCCTCATATCTGACCTCAGAACAGCAGGACTGGATCCTCAAAAACAAGAGCTGGGTGAGGAATCCCACACAAACTGCACAGCATCTCGATTATCCCTTTATATCAGTATCAGGATAACCCCTTTATAATTGATTTTAATTCATTTAACTCTTTTTGAGCTGATTTAAACCAATGTAGGTGTACATTTTTAACATAAATAGTTTATAAAAGCATCATGTAGTTTAACTAAACTCGTTCTCATCATGAATTGGAGTAGATGATGATGTTAAACACACACACACACACACACACACACACACACACACACTGACGTCAGCTGCTCAGATTATCCCAACACCTCACACACATTACCATTGCTAATGTCTGTCTGAGAGGAAAATCTCGCTCACAGGAGATGGGAACAGCTTGTATTTCTTCAGTTGCATAATTCAGTGCTGTTCTCGTGTGTTTGAACACACACACACACACACACACACACACACACACGTGACGTGAGTTCATTCAGCAGTGACACTGATCTCCAAAGCTCATGTATCGGGCAGATAAACCACCATTAAGCTCATCTGTACACTTGTTTCCATTACAAGTCTGTGTAATGATTGAGCATTATTTTGTTAGTGACGGTGGAAAACTGTTGTGAAATGACGACATCTCCGTCAACTAAAACTATAATCATCCGCTAAACTTTGACAACGTGCATGGGCTTTACTTGTACACCATTAATGCACAGCTAATGCACATTTTAGTCATAGTAAAGCTTTAATGGGGAGTCAATCAGTGAGTTTAGTCACATCATGTCATTTATTTATCAATTTCTGCTGCACACTCTGTTGTTTTGCATCTGATATTGCTCCAATAATTCAAATAATTCATAAAAATCTCCATCTTATTATTGTTCACACCAAAAATCGTCATTTTAAATTGGTCTGATTTGATTTGTAAATAAAAAATTGCTAAATAAGTACAAAATGAAGCGTAACTCAACTAGTTTTTCGCGATCTTATCCATTTTATTTTATTGTAATATAATTAAATGGGGTTTTTTTTTTGGGAAACCGATGCTTCCGTTTCAGTTTGTGCATCTGTAAATGCCAATATGTGCATTTATTTCTGGAGCGTAATGTTTATCGTTCTTAAATTGGTATTTCAGTGAATCTGATGTGCTTCGGTTAATGTGAAGAGCAATAGCAGCTTGACTAGAGTCTCCATTACTGACGTTCCCGCTTTGTTTCTCCTCAGCATGGGTTCGTGGAGTTTTTCCACCAGGAGGACGTAGAGTCTGTTGTCCGTCATGGTCTGTTGGCGCTGGTCGGATGTGCCGGTATCGGTGCCGGTCTGGCCTTCCTCATCCGGTGAGAGAAAGCAGAGGATCATGGGACTTTTCTTCGCTCTGCTCTCACCAAGGCGCTTAGAAGTGTTACAAAGAGAATCTTCCCCTGCGCCGCTGTACTGACCTGAGCCCCGCTCACTCGCAGCACACGATTGGGCTCGCCGTCGGTCAAGAGAATAAGAACATTGGTTTTATTTTTATAATAAAAGAACTATCTTTACCTACTCATTTGTCTGCATTGTTTGATTTCATGTGTATTGGTCATTGTTGATGTGTAAATCTACTGGAGTTTCTGTTTCACAGCAATGTTCTCGTGAAGCACCAGATCGCACACAAGGGTAAGAGTCGCGCATGCGCAGCCGCTATTCTGTCAACAAAGCTACGCTCAGAGTGAAGTTGTTTGGTATATCTGCACATTCAGACGTATTCAGTTCAGAAAAGAACTAAATTGAGAAATAATAAAATTAGCCAATGGCTATCAATGCACAACATGTTCACGGTTTTGTTTTGATGTCATGCGTGCATGCTAATTAAGACCGAATATTCAAAATAGCTTTGGGTAAACTTTATACTGAGCATGTCAAGTTTATTTATTGTTTAAAAGTGAAGGAATGTATGAAAATAAAACCAACTTTACCTCAATTACTCCCAAGATATAAGTATAAACTAAAATAATTATCTTTACCAAATTATTTCTCTGCATTTGATTTCTGGAATCAAAAGTAGATCAACAAGATTTTCTGTGAACAATGATTTGAAAGGATTTTTAGCTAAAACAATTCAATTAAATCCACATTTGAGTGCTTTTAAACCCTGATGAACAGAAAATAAGATGTTTTATAGAGCAGTATGATGATTGGCTTACTAGGGGATAATATACAAGGGATGTTCCAAGGTCGTTGTCTTGCTTTCTGTTCATCAGAAGAAAACTGAAAGTCTTGAAGTGATTGGCTGAGTAGTGTGAACGGCCCCTTATAGAGGAGTCTGTCTGACCTTCAGGCGATGAGTCGGGAGTTTCCTTTTAATATCAAAAGTAAAAGAGAACTGAGCTCTTCTGTTTAGGCGGTGGAAATCCCAAACCGCAGCCGAATACCCACAATAAAATGCAAACAAATATGCAAAACTATAAACCTGAATAGATGTCGAATAAATAGATTAATGCAGAAACAAGTGGAAAAATCGCATCACAGCATTAGTGTTCATCATTTTGTGGCTCTGATAATTGACCAAACGTGTTTGTTGCTTGCTCTTTTACTAGTCTGAGTTTATATGAAGTTTTTTAACCAATTTAGTCTATTTACCAAAAGCAGATCCAGGCTGATGTTATCAAGTGTTTTTTATTGTTATATTTTAAAGGGCACCTATGATGAAAATCATCTTTTGTCAGCTGTTTGGACTGAACTGTGAGCAGGTATAGTGTGTCCACAGTCATATTGGTGGTGATATAAACTATAAGTCTCTATTTTTTTACATTTCCTAATGTTAAAATTGGATCCAAATCCCTCCTATTTTGAGGCCCACCGCAACATGTAGGAATGCGGTTCCCCGACCCACCGAAGTGATTGACAGCCACGTATTAACATGTCTTCAAACTCTGTAACAACATTATGTGTGACTCGATGCGGGAAAGCTTAAATTAACTCCACATCAAATAATAACTGGTAAAGTTGTTACTGTAGTGTTTTTCACAGTCGTTATGTAAGTTCTGCTTCCTTCATGTCTGTCACTGTGCTGTTTATCTGACGCAGCAGGGGCGGAGACTGAGGCACACTCTGACAGGCAGATGGGAACGGTGTGCGGGGAGAACCAGCATTAAAGGCACAGGCCACAATAAGGTATGTTAATGTTCTGAAAGTTCTTATAAATAATCTAAAGGGTGTTTGAGCCCTAACCCTCGCTACTCTATGCTTTTATGAGCTCTAGTCTGGATTACTGTAATGCTCTGTTCGCTGGCTGCCCAGCATCCTCTATTAACAAACTTCAGCTAGTACAAAATGCAGCTGCCATAGTTCTTACCAGGTCTACAAAATATGATCATATCAGCCCAATGTTATACTCCTTACACTGCCTGTTAAGTTGCGCATTGAATTTTAAATATCGCTTCTTACATGTAAAGCTCTTAATAATCTAGCTCCTGTTTATCTAACCAACCTTCTGTCTCAATACAATCCAACCCGCTCTTTAAGATCTCAAAACTCAGGGCTTCTGGTAGTACCTAAAACAGCAAAGTCCAATAAAGGAGGTCGAGCCTTCTCATTTATGGCTCCTAAACTCTGGAATAGCCTTCCTGATAATGTCCAAGGCTCAGATACACTCTCGCAGTTCAACACTAGATTAAAGACCGGTCTGTTTAGTAAAGCACACACTCAGTCCATCACTTAGCGGTATGATACATGAATGTGCTCCATACAGGTTTCTGCATCTCGTTTATATACACTATGAACAGCAGCTAAGCTAATTATTCTCTATGTCCACCTGGGGACAGGGCCGGCGCGTCCATAGAACAGAGAGCGTGGCGTCCCCGACACTACCCTCACCACCCGCGCTCTCAGTTTTATCTGCATCTAGTGTGATAGAATAGAGAGGGCGGCGTCCCCGACACTACCTTCACCACCTGCGCTCTCAGCTATATCCACGTCTACGGCGGCAGAATAGAGAGGGCGGCGTCCCCGACACTACCCTCACCACCCGCGATCTCAGTTATATCCACGTCTAGTGTGATAGAATAGAGAGGGCAGTGTCCTCGACACTACCTTCACCACCCGCGCTCTCAGTTATATCCACGTCTAGTGCGATAGAATAGAGAGGGCGGCCTTAAACTTTAGGGTTGAGGGCGGCGCGACCGTCCTTTGCCTAGAGCGGCAGGTTAGCTTGCTCCAGCCCTGCCTGCGGATACTCATCCCGAGGCCCCCAGAGATCATGCAGCGCCAATGATTCGATCCAAGACCTGTAAAGAGATGACCCCAAGGTTTCCACAATCCTGGACCAGGCCGTATCCTGAGCAGCTGCTGTGGTGGACATGGAGTAGTGGAGAGCATGACACTGATTCCTGTGACGCTCCAGAGTCAGACGAGTCTTCGCTGATGACCAGCTTTCTCCAGCGTCCGACGCCTAGACTGCAGCTCTGCACAAGACGTTTGACCAGAGGAGAAATGGTCGTGCCTAACTGAGCCTGGTTTCTCTCCAGGTTTTTTAAGTCTTCACTTTGGTCAATTGGTGAAGTTTGTTCCTCCGCTGTCGCCACTGGCTTGCATGATTTGGGATCTGTAGAGCTGCGTACTGATGGATTTGCTCTTCAGTGTTTGGACTCTCAGCAGTGAATATTAAAACACACTGAACTTAAACTCTGAACACTGTTTACATTTACTATGGTCTTCTATGTGAAGCTGCTTTGACACAATCTGCATTGTAAAAGCGCTGTACAAATAAAGATTAATTATATTGAATTGAATATATTCTCATGTGTACTCATATTATAGCAATGAGAGTGGGTGTCTGATAGATGTGGGTTTATTATGCTAAAATTTAAGGTCTCCACAAAACTGAGAAGCTGAAGGAAATGCAAGAAGTGTTGCAACCGCCCCACACTCTCCGCTGTATCTAGTGAAGTCCGATGCTGCAGTGTTTGTTGATTCTGCACTAACCACACAGTGTGACATTTATCCTCATCTCAGCATGCCGTGTGGTTTCTTCGCTTTTGATGATATTTTTCACCTTTGCAGTGCAAGTCAGCAGAATATAGAGCACGTCTTTCTGGAAACTGTAGTGCTGAGATGAACAAACCACAGCGAGACCTGCAGCGTACAGGCGATTACTCTCACAGACAGCAGATAAACCTACTGAACAGCAAATATGAACTAGTTTGGAGAAGTTAAACACTGTCTACAGGCTTATACACACACATGCAACGTCAAGAGCTGCACTGCGCATGTGCTCACACAACCACAAACATTTCTGAGAAAAACCTCTGTGTGTGTGTGTGTGTGTGTGTGTGTGTGTGTGTGTGTGTGTTTATACTGACTGTTCTGGTGCACTCTATTTTGCTCATCAACACAGCACCAGCACTTTATTATGTACAAATTAAACAGAACTCTAACACAATCTGAAGAAATGCTTGTATTAGCAGGTCCATGTGTTCATTTATGCTGATATTTGTTAGCATCATTTTCCAAATTTCCATATTCCAAACATTGCTTCTCCCCTTTAAGGCTTTAAATAATCGAGCTCCTGTTTATCTAGCCAACCTTCTGTCTCGCTACAGTTCAACTCGCTCTTTAAAATCTCAGACTCAGGGCTTCTGCTAGTACCCAGCATAACAAAGTCCACTAAAGGAGGTCGAGCATTCTCATTTATGGCTCCTAAACTCTGGAATAGCCTTCCTGATAATATCATGGCTCAGACACACTCTCGCAGTTCAACACTTGATTGTACACTGATGTTTTTAGTAAAGCATACACACAATGCTGCATATGACAGTATGATGTATGAGTGTGCTCAATGCAGGTGAGTGGGCTTGACAAACCACCTGTAGGACACACTCCTCCTGTCTCAATAGAAATAGGTACACATAGACATCAACTACATGCTATATAACTAGAATAACTTTAACTGATAATGTCACAGGTAATTTGTTAATTAATTAATTAGTTGGAATTAGTAGTAACTAATACATTTATGGTAACTAATAACCTTAACTTTTTTTCTGATTAGAAATTTAGATTGTAATGCTGCTTTGAAACAATAATTAATATCATAATTAATGATAATCATGAAAAGCGCTATACAAATAAACTTGAATTGAATTGAATGTACGACATTGATTACATCACACATGTGCGCTATTTTAGATTAGCAAACCCTTGAGAGATAGATAGATGTGTATGTATGTATATGTGTGTGTAACGGAGGCCAGCTAGCCTAGCAACAAACGTTAGAGGCCATGGGTTTTTGTAGCCTCCTTGTTATGTATATATATATATATATATATATATATATATATATATATATATATATATATATATATATATATATATATATATATATATATATATATATATATATATATATATATATATGTGTGTATGTATATATATATATATACATAATTTTTTTTTTTTTTTTTCTAAACCCTTGAGCACTTGGGAGCTATACTGTTGTAACATCATAATTGCATTGCATTCTGGGACATTAGCTTCTGGAGACTTTCTCTAACTTTGCAAGCTAATGGAAAATATTGAGAACCTCTTGCTTCTTCCAGTACATTTATTATTGCTTTTTAGAATTATTGTTAGGTTAATCTGCTACCTTATTCTCCAGTTTTGTTATTTATTTTGTCATTATGTCTTTTTTGTTGTTGATTGGGGTTAGGGCAACTATTTCATTTGGCATAATTAGAATAAACCTGTCTGTTACATATTCAATCCTGAATTTTATTGTATATTTTTTCCCTTCTTATTAAAAAATAAATAGAAATAGGCATAGGTGCTAAA